CGGCCGTCAATATTACCAAAATAGAGGAGAACTAGCCATGCTTGCAACGCATATATCTGTTAGAATAATAATATTCCACTAGTATTAGGTCTACTAACCTTTTGCAGAGAATGACAATAAAGTGGAGGAGAATCGACATCAACACAGACGATAAATCAATCGGATGATGTCGAGAGTTAGACTTATGCATGAATGGGCCAAGAACTCAGAATTGACACGACACACTGGGCCAAAATTCACAAGTCTACGGAGGAGAACAACAAAGGAGTCCACCTGTCGAATATGGGCTAGGATGGGCCGGCCCCTGGTTTGGTCGAACCTCCCCTGGCACCGTTGGATCTAGGTTTTGGCTGGACGGCGTGGATCACTCCCCAATGATGGTTGGAGGGCAATTCCGACCATTCCAACTGCCACAACCGTCATTGGCAGCCTATTTAAGGAGCTCCTCTTCTCACTTCATTCACACACCTCAAGCAAGAGCTCTCTCATTTCTCTCAAGTTTAGTTTAGTAGTATCTAGCTGGTGGAATAGGAATAGTAGAAATCAGGAGTCCGGAAGCCTTTGGAAGAGTTCGGGTATGGCTCTAGTAGCTTTCCTTTCCTCTTTTGTAAGCGTTGTACTTTTATTGGAATACTCTTCTTTATACATTTATGGTATACTTTCCGAGTATATGAATGCCTACTTTACATTATGTTCATGTTATACTGTACGGCTAGCTTATCTAGGAGATGCTTTGGTGCGGGTATAATGTTTGCATATGCAATTACTCTATGTCATGACGATGATATTAGAGCAGTATCTGGTAGTTTAGGCGTGGTGTCTAGATTATGGGATATCATTATTTGGGGTTATATATTGCGGATAAGAGGTGGGCCGCTGATGGTGACAGCTCAGTACGGGTATTCCTCCGCGCCAGTATATAATCCTAAGTTAATTCCCTAAGGAGGGTATTCCTCCGTATTCATGACGGGTTGTCGTAAGGAACTCGGCAGTCAGGAGTGGCTTCTCGAAGTACCAGGAGGGCATCGAATAGAGGGTATTAGCTAGTATATCGGTTAACTAGAATGTGAAATGCTACAATGGTATATATGTGCGCTTGCGGATGAACTCTGTAACCATAATATACCAAAAGTATTTCTACGCCATTGCTGGGAATTATATTTCTAGTAATGTCGTTAAGAAATACCAACAATGACGCATGGATTTATTGAACGCTACATAAATTGGTCACATCATGGAGAGATCCCAAGCAAGCAAGTTCCGAACCAGGTTACAGTACGCGATGAAGTGTTGAGCTGGGACGAGGATGTCATTGTAGTAGCTGAAGAAGAAGAAGAAGAAGAAGTGCATGCAATAGAACCCGTTGATGATGATGATGTTTTTGGTGACAATGGTCAGCATGGTACAGTTGATGATGCCGATGATGGTAATGTCAGCGTAGATGATGGTAATTTTGCAGATTTGGAAGAGATGTTGTGTCATGCTGAACCTGAGGTTGTTGCTGGGTCCGCTCATGGGTTGGATAACTTTGATGCATTGAAAAAGGCAGCAAAGGATCTTTTGTACAATGAGGCAAAGGGCTGCGAGAAGGATTTCACATTGTTGCGAACGGTGCTTGAGCTTATGAGATTGAAGGCCAGAAACGGTTGGTCCGACAGTAGTTTTAACGACATGTTGGTTCTATTGAAGAAACTTTTTCCGCAACCCAACTCCCTGCCAACAAGCACCTATGAAGCGAAGAAGCTTATATGCCCGTTGTCATTGGGTGTGCGAAAGATACACGCGTGTGTTAACCACTGTATCCTGTTCCATAAAGAGTACGAGGATTTGGACAGATGCCCAACATGCAAGAGTAGTCGATACAAAACAAACCGTAGCCATTCCGAGGGTCAGGATGTTGCCCTTGACGATGTAGAAGAGTTCGATCCATGCAAAGACAGTAACAAAAAGAATATTCCCCAACTTGTCATGTGGTACCTTCCGGTGAAAGATCGTTTGAAGTGTTTGTTCTCAAACCCGAGGGATGGCGAATTGATGCGCCGGCATCATGAAAAGCGAAAAAAGGATGGGATGATTCGACATCCTGCAGATGCAAGACAGTGGAAGGTATTTGACACAAAGTATCATAAGTTTGCAGAGGACCCAAGAAACGTAAGGTTTGCATTGAGCACCGATGGAATGAATCCATTTGGTGACTTGAGCAACTCACACAGCACGTGGCCAGTACTCCTAACCATGTACAACCTCCTAACGTGGCTGTGTCAGAAAAGAAAGTATATCTTGTTGACCATCCTTGTACAGGGACCACGACAACCTGGCAATTACATGGATGTGTTTTTGGAGCCTTTGCTGGAGGATACCCCCAATTTGTGGAAACAAGGGATCCGAGTTTGGGACGAATTCCTGCGGGAGTAGTTCACGCTACATGCAATTATCTTTGTCACCGTCAACGACTTGCCCGCACTGTTTTCCCTATTGGACAGATCAAGGGGAAGACGGGTTGCGTTATTTGTGTGGATGGTACCGTGTACAGGTATCTTAAGGGATCGAAGAAGCTAGTGTACATGCGGCACCGGCGTTTCTTAAGAAAGAATCACTTGTATCGCTCCGAAGCAGAATATTTCGACGGTATTGTTGAGGAAGGTGATGCACCAGAACCATGGAAGGGTGATAAAGTGTTCAAAATGACAAAAAACCTGAAGGTTGTTTTTGGGAAGGTAAAAAAGAAGGAAACGAATAAGAGGAAGAGAAATGATGCCGAAGTGCCAGCAAGCCCTAGCGTGCCATTTAAGAAGCACTCCATTTTCTTTAAGTACGTTCTGTACTGAAAAGATTTAGACATACGCCATTCTATCGATGTCATGCACCTAGAGAAAAATGTCTTCGATAGCACCATTAGGACTATACTGGACATACCAACTAAGACCAAGGATGGGCTGAAATCACGTAAGGACCTCGTGGATATACAGATAAGGAAAGAGCTTCATCCTGTGGATTAAGGTAATAATGGAAAAGTGTACCTTCCACCTTCTTGCTACACCTTGACAAGAGAGGAGAAAATGGCATTGTGCAAATCCCTACGTGGGGTGAGAGTGCCTACTGGCTTCTCCTCAAACATTAAGCGACTAGTGTCAATGAAGGATCTGTCGCTTTCAGGCTACAATTCCCATGACTGTCATGTAATACTCACAGTTTTCCTCGCCATTGAAATTAGAGCAGTCGAACCGGTTCACGTAAAGCTGGTCATCATAAAGCTGTGTTATTTCTTCAATGCCATATCTCAGAAAGTAATTGATCCCGAAGAGTTAGGTCCTCTCCGAGCTTTCGCTATACAAATAGTGTGCGAGCTTGAGATGTGTTTCCCTCCATCATTTTTCGATATGATGCAACACCTCATAGTTCATATCGTGCCTCAGATAATTGCACTTGGGCCCCTGTACCTGCATCAGATGTGGCCTTTCGAATGATACATGTCCATTCTAAAAGGCTACGTACGGAACCACGCCCACCCAGAGGGATCCATGATAGAGGGATAAACAACCGAGGAGGTCGTTGTGTGTTGCATTGATTACCTAAAAGATGGGAAAGCAATTGGTTTACCGGTACCTCGACATGAAGGTAGATTATCTGGGAAAGGAACAAGAGGAAAAAAAGAATCCACGACAATGACTACAAAAAAGTGAAAGATGCTCATTTCACTGTGCTGCAGCAACTCGCAATAGTGGAGCCGTACATGGAGCAACACCTGCAGGAATTACAAGCAACAAATGTGGGGCGATCTAATGCATGGATCATGAAGAAACACAAGCATCACTTTACTAAATGGTTCAAGAACCTCTATCTACCAGATGGCCATACCATGGAAGAAAGAACAATTAAAATGCTGGCCGACGGGCCATCAAGTGTGTATACCTTGTGGCAAGCATATGATCTGAATGGATACACGTTTTACACAAAAGCGAAAGACAAAAGGAGTGCATGCCAAAACAATGGCGTTCGAGTAGAAGCAATCGACACAACTGGGCAAAAGAGCACATACTATGGATTCGAAGATGAAATCTGCGAACTAGACTACGGGCCAAATATGCAGATTCCACTGTTTCGGTGCCGATGGGTGAAACACCCAGCCGGCGTGTTTGTGGACAACTTTGGGCTGACAATTGTTGACTTCGACAACGTAGGCCACAAGGATGACCCATGGGTGCTTGCCGATCGGGTCGCTCAAGTTTTCTATGTGACAGACCCATCTCATTTGAAGAAAGACATAGTTATTTCGAGAAAACAAAGGATTTTGCAAGTTGATGATGTCGAAGATGTCGAGGCATACAATCAATATGAGAACATGACATTATTCACAGATTTTCGAAACAAGATATTACGCGTCGAAGAATCAATTGGGGAATCGCTGAAGCCATACTTGAGAAATGAAGGTGTAGGGAAAAATGTTAGATGCTAATTTATTATGTATATCATATTGGACGTATCGATGAATTTATTTGTATTATAATGCGTGACAATGATAGATGATGAATTTTTGTATATGGATATATATGGTGACATGATAATTTTTGGATCAAAAAATAGTTTGGTATAAATTTATTTATATGCATTAAAAAAATATCAAGTGCAAACATTAAAAAAAGTGATAAGAAATAATATCATATCTTATTAATTTTTTTTGATAAATTAATCATATCTGTGTAAAAAAAATAAAATTATTTTTTTAAGTGAGAATGACATGTGGGGCCAAAGGGTTTTCGCTGGCGGCCGGCTTAGCCCACCGCTAGCGAAAACTGTTTTCGCTAGCGGCCCACAAAAGAGTGCCGCTAGTGAAAACCCACATAAGCTTGCCGCTAGCGAAAACCCTTTTCCCTAGCGGTCCATGGAATCCTCCACCAGCAAAAAAATGTTTTCGCTAGCGGTCGGCGCATTCCTCCGCCAGCGAAAATCTCTTCGCCTATAAGTAGCTAGCACGCGCGAGCGAAAAATTTACTAAGTCCCCGAGGTGCGCTTGCTGCCAAAATTTCAAGCACCGCCGCTAGCGATAACCCTAGCGCCCGCCACCGCCGCAGCCTCCTCCTCCATTCGCGCCATCCTCCATTCGGACACAGCTGCTCCATTCGCGCCTCCTCCTCCTCCTCCTCCTCTCTGCCGCCATCGGCACCGCCAGATCCAGCTCCCACCGTCATTCTCTCCGCCACCGCCGGGTCCTCGTCGTCGACGCTGCCTCCACCTCGGCCAGCCGTCTCCACCTCAGGAGTCATCACCGCCGCCGGGTCCTCGTCGTCCATGCCGCCTCTACCTTGGCCGGCCGCCTCAACCTCGGGAGTCGCCGCCGCCGGGTCCTCGTTGTCCACGCCGTCTCCACCTCGGCCGGCCGCCTCGACCTCGGGAGTCGCTGCCGCCGGGTCCTCGTCGTCCACGCCGTCCCCCCGCCACCGCCAGGATGCCGCCGCCGCGCAGGGACACGTCGTCGCCGCCTCCTTTCACCAAGGTGAGCCCACGCCCTCCGCCTCCCCTCTTCTATCTTCTCTCTGATTAACCCCATCTTCTCCTCCTCAGCCGCGCCGGGACTCGTTGTTGTGCCAGGACCGTCTTCACCGCCGCCGGGACCTCCTCCCCGCCGACTCTTCCTCCTCTCGGCTGCCGCGCCAAGACCATCGTTGCCACCGCCGGGACCTCCTCTCTGCCTCTTCCTCCTCTCAACTGCCGCATCAGGAATCGCCGCCGCTGCCTACGCTACTCGCCGGGCAGCCGAAGCCATCGTCACACGCCTCCAGGTACATCCCCCTCCTCTGCGCATCCTACCTATGCTGGAAATGCTGATGAATGCTGAGAATTGATGAATGGTGATGAAAATTGATGAATGATGAATGACTGAATTGAGATGAATTTTGGGTGAATGCAAATTGGTTGGGGGGTTTGCAGGGGATTTGCAATGTGGCAGATGGCACTGCAATTGAATGGTTGCAAATGTGATTTAAAAACATGAATGTATAGATGATTTAAAACTTGAATGTTGCAAATGGTTGAGATCAATTTTGGATGAATGCAAATTGGTTGGTAAAATTTGGGGGAATGCAGAAATATTTGGGGGGTTTGCAATATGTGGCAGAAGGCATTTTGGATGAACTTTATAATTTATAGTTACAGCAGTAGTTAATGGAATTTTGGACGAACTTTTGGATGAAATTTTGGATGGAATTCTTAAATGAAACCGCATATATATATAATTGTAACCTTTTTTTTTCAAATAAGTTCAGAATGTTGCAAATGTGATTTAAAACTTGCTATTTTGACATGCATACTGCTTTATATGTTGTTATGTTCCCTTTTGAATCAGAAGTGATTGGTTGATGGATGGATGAATTGATGAAATGATATATTTTTTTCACCCCATTTCGTAATCTGTAATTGATATATATTGATGAAATGATATATATGTGAGATGTAGTTGGGACTTAGGGATTATTGAGATGTCATATCTATAGCTAGCCCAATTCAAAATTTTGGATGAACTTTTGGATGGAATTATGAACTGAAACTGCATATGAAATTTTGCTATTTTTTGTCATATAAGTTCAGATTGTAGCTAGTTTGAAACTTGTGGATTGTTGCTATTTTTTTTTCATATAAGTTCAGATTGTGCAATATGAATTGGTTGATGGATGGATGAATTTGGATAGATTTTATTTGCTGTTTTGTTTGACTGATGCACTGAAACTGCATATATATCATCGTGCTCTTTTTTCCATATAAATTCAGATTGTTGCAAGTGTGATTTAAATTCTGAAATCCAGTGATGTATGGCTATATATATGGTTTTGCAATGAAATGTTGTAGTATCTGAGAGAATGAGTGTTTGAAATATGAGAGAATGCAATTTTGGGTGAAATTCTGAATGCAGGAATTGGGGGTGAAATTTTCATATACTCTGAAATTCTGAAATCTGATATGTTCTAAATGAAATCTGATTTACATTGCCATGAACTTTGTCCATAAGTAGTTCATATGTGAGATGTAGTTCATATTTCATATGTGCACTTTGAGATATGTAAACTTTGGGACTTAGGGGTTATTGAGATGTGAGATGTTATATGTGATATCAAACCATCACAGAATACGAAGTGCATGGGGAATTTTGTTGGATTGGTCAGGGTAGTCCATGGACGGAACCGACCTAGACACCGAAATTTTCCATGCACTTCGAAATCTGTCATTCTTTGATAATTAAGGAACTTAATTAGGTTTAGGGTTTGAAATTTAGCTGAAATGGATGAATTGATAGATTGGCCGTACTTTTAATGTAGTTCCTATGTTATCAAGCCATCACAGAATACGAACTGCATGGGAAATTTTGTTGGATTGGTCAGGGTAGTCCATGGACGGAACCGACCTAGACGCCAAAATTTTCCATGCACTTCGAAATCTGTCATTCTTTGATAATTAAGGAACTTAATTAGGTAGTTTGAAATGGTCAGGGTTGGTGGATTGTAATATTGTTGTCGTTACCAATCTCATTGATTGCTTTAAGCGATCAAGGAGTTTGTTGGCGATAACAATATTATAGTTGTAGTACAAAATTAGTATCTAAATTTTGCCTTCTTTTCGGACTTACAATAAGAAAATGATTGCATTTCGCAACTAACATAAATTCACCTTCAAAGGATATCAATCGACAAACCCACCCAAGAGCAACCCACAGGTGACAAGGGCAAGGAAACTCAGGCCGTCATCGAGGAAGATATTTGCATGCAAGTAGTCACGGAGGAATCTTCGTCATCTAGTTGCTGTTTTAGAGCCTGAGCCGAGCTATCCTTTCGATGATGTAACGGAGGATACTCCGTGCAAGCACTTGATTCTGGTCGGTAGGGTGGGAAAGAAAATACTCATTGCAACTGGGAGGTTCATACTAGGCCGCAGGTTTCATTGCCAAGACATTCCGGATGACTACGCCAAGGTAGAGGTCCGGACGGTCATTGAGGCTTACTGGATGCACGAGCTCGACTTTCCAACTACTGAGTAGATTGTGTACCTTAGAGATGCCGTCAACCAATTCATACTATGGCATAAGAATGATATTGAACTAGGGTCAATGGATGGAACTGATCGTCCACCAAGGATATCGGTGTCACCGTCGCGTCCACCAGTCGTAGCCAGTCCGAGGGATAGTCCTATTGCTTGACCCCCTAGACCAGAGCCACCAGTTGCATCACCTCTGTTGGTATTTCTTAGCGACACTACTGGGAATATAATTCCCAGTAATAGCACTAGAAATAATCCTGGTATATTATGGTCATAGATATGATCCGCAAGCGCACGGATATACCATTGTAGCATTTCACCCGGGAGTATTCCAAGGTATCGTATTTATTTTATCCCAAGGGAAGATATGATAAGAGAGTACTATGCTAATAGTTTATATGTTACTTATATACGTCAAAGTCTATGCAGGGGTTAATTAAGTTCAAAGGGTAGGGTGACACATAGAAGAAATAACTAAGAACTACTCTCGCTAAAATATAGTCTAAGTTAAGTGGAGAAAGAATAAGAAAAGTATCATTCCTGTACTTCTAGTATACATACAGCTAGTGGTTCGGCCGAACCAGGGGGTTCGGCCGAACCCTGGCCAGGCCCAATCAGCCCACAATTCGGCAGGTGGATTCCTCGTTTGTCCCTTAACTTAGAACATGGAATTTTGGGCTTATTTGATCATGTCATATCTGAGTTCTCAGCCCATCTATCCACAAGTCTGATTCTCGACAGTGTCCGTTTGATTGATCGATTGTTGTACTGTCGATTCTCCTCCATTTTGATAGCTTCTCCTGCATGGTTAGTTTTCCAAGCATATAGTGGAATAGAATATTTTATTTATGGAATAATGCATTGCAAGCATAGCCAGTCTTCATTAATTGGGTAATATTGACGGTCGAAACTGGTCGATAACGACCGTCAACAACGTCCAGGATTACAGGCTCCTGTTGCATCACCTCCTAGACCAGAGCCACCAGTTGCATCACCTCCAGGATCAGAGCCTCCTGTTGCATCACCTCCGACTGAAAAGGATGCAGAAGAACAATCAGTGCTTGCAAAGCGACAATCATAGCTAGCAATACGGGAAATGTCTCCCGCACAACCATCAGAGCCTGTACAAGCAAAGCCTACAAAGCTAGCGGCGGGTGAAATTGAAGCGGTGCCTGAACAGCCAATGCCCGATCAACCAGAGCCATCACAACCAGAGCCATCGCAACCAGAGGAATCTAAGGGTGCCGATGTGCCAGTGATGGTAAGGACGCACAAGCACAAAGCAAAAAGTGCGTCCAAGAAACAGTATATGGTAACGGCATTCCGAGGAAGGGAGAAAGATATCATAAATGCCGAATTTGATAAAAGAAAATTAAAAGGGTTCAAGCAAACCATGGATGACTATCTCAACTATATCAATTCCCCAGACGTGCCACACGAATTTGAGAATGGCAAACCATTCATTTACGACTGGCAACTAAGAGAAGGACCGTGGCAACTAAGAAGGTGGCACAATTGGTACATTAGGGCAAGCACCATGAAAGGCATTTCATCATTCACAGTTGCCGTGGGGGAGAACATCTTCTGGAGCGGTCCTTGTCTACTCCAAGTCCATTTCTCCGATATGCATCCCCTCTACCGTAGGAAGAGGCTGGACGCCAATTTAATTGCCATCTGGTGTCTGTAAGTTCTAGACTTGAACATGTTAATAAATCACTACACCTATATGCGTAGCTCATTTGATCATCCATTGTTGGCAGGATGAATTACGTGGAAGCTGAAGAGATGAAAAAACCTGTCGCCTACCTAAACCCGTGCAGGATGTAACGCTCCGCTTTCTGCGGGACGTTAAAAGCTAATTTATTGAAAATCCTAATTGCGAAAATTTTGTTCTTTGAGTGTTAAGTCTAAGTTGTGCCAAAGATCTCAATTTAAATCCCTCCCTGGTCCCGATACCCTGTTATCAAAAATCGTCTCCTCAAAATTTCCATCCCAATATAGTCCCGAAGCTCGATTCCTTCTATTCGGAATCCCCTCCTGGAACCCCATCTGTGAACTTTGTCGAATGCCCGAACCCTAACTCCGTCCAAGGATTCACCTTCGCGTCATAAACTCTCTCCTTGGTTCCTTCAAACCGATTCTCAAATTCGAATTCAACTTCTCAGGTTTTGATTCATCTATCTTTCTCTCTGTATTGGTTCGTCAATCTACCCTAGTTCTCTTTCTCGAACTTCTGACCCAAGTTTGAATATGCAAATCGAGATCACTTCCACCCTTGAACTCTAAACCCCAAGAGTCAATCCCTTTCGCCTTGAGCTCTTCCCAAAATGATATCCGTTCTGAAATAATCTCGAAGTCCGAACCCTTCTATTCAGACTTCTCTTCAAAATCCTCACCCGCATATCTCGTCAAGTAGTCAAACTCAAACTCCCAAGTTACACTCTCTTTCTCTAAATTATCCATCTCCCTTTGACTCGTCTCCGAATATTGTTCTCTTCCTTGACTCCTTTCTATTCTCCCAAGACCGAGTATCGACTTCGAAATTCAAGTCCAGACTCCAACCCTAAAACCTTCCAATTAAATCTCTCTGTAAAAGTCTAGTTAACCTCCCCCATAGGTTGGATTCCTTCTTCCTTTTTCCGGTCCACCTCTTCCTTCTCTTCCATCCCGTCTCTCTCTGGGTCTCGACCTATCAACCTATCTACCTATCAATCTATCTATACATCGATCTACCTAACGATCTATCTATCTATCGATCCATCTATCTATCTACTATACCTATCTATCTGTTTATCTATCCATCTGTCTATCCGTTCCTCTACCTATCAACCTATCTCTCTGTCTATCTATCTATCCTTGAACTCCTTCCCAAATATTTGTCCCATGGTACAAGATTTCTTTAAACCCCCCCTCTCAATAATCCTTGAGCCACCAAATACAAATATATCCCTAGAATATCAATTCTCGCTTTGAACTCCAACTTCCCATCGACATCGAGAATCATGCCTCATCGAAATTCCTTCCCATTTCCGAAAGTATCAAATTCGCTCTTTGAATCCCCTCCTTGGCTTCTCCAAACTTTGTTGAGCTCAAATATCCAATTTGAATTCAATCCAGAAAGTCGATCCCTTCCTTTGAATCCTTGCCGAATATTCGCTCCGACTACAAAAATATTCAATTCCCGTTTTGAATCCTTCTTCGACTCTTCCTTATTGTTCCTAGAGTCCAAGTATCAAGGTTAAATTCCCTCCAATTCAAATTGTCTCCACATTCAATCCATCTAAAAAAGTCTATTTTGCCTCCCTCTGCTTTTGTGGGCCGAATTCCTCTCCCTCGGCCCATCACTCTCTCTCAGTCCGTTTCCTCCTCTCTCTCCACGTGCGCCGCGCGTGACCACCAAGAGAGAGCGCCGTCTCTCTCCCCTCTCTCGGACGTTCTCTCTCTCGTTCTCTCTCACTCTCCCTCGCCGCGCCCAAACCGCTCCCCACCAGCGCCCCGCCGATTCAAACCGCCACCATTCGATTTTCGCCGCCGCCCGTCGGTTTCCCGCGCGCGCGCGCGTGGCTAACCACGCTCGGTCGGTCGCCGCGCTCAGTTGTCGCCGCGTCCGTCCAGACGCCGCCCGTGCCCTGTTGCCGCATGCCCGGCCGCTCCAAGCCATGTGCGTCCAACTCCCGGAGGCAGAGCTCTCTCTCCCTCCTCCTTTCTCCCAGAATGGCATGGGCAGAGCCCCCTTTCCTCCCTCCCCTTTTTGCTTTTTTCCCCGACCGGCACCATCGACCCCCCCCTCTGCCGCCCGTGACTGCCAAGTTCGCCACCCCCACCTTGACCACACGCGACATTCGAGCTCCCTTGACCATCTAAGTCGGTTCCCCCTCCTAAACCGCCTCTTCTCCGCCTATAAAAGCCAAGCTGCTCCCCGCTCTTCCTCTGTTCTTGCCGCCTTGCCGCCACCACCTTCCTCGCCGTTGCGCATGCCGGAAAGTCGGCAAGCGCGCGGAGCCGAAGGGGACCTCCGGGCGCCGTCTTCTTCCCCTTTCCCGGCCCGAGGCCGAGGAGATCCCAACGCGGTAGCCCCGTTCTCCCTCCCCGCCTTTCCTCTTCCCCTCTAGCTTGCGTAGTGGCTCGGTAGCCCTCCCGAACGCGCGTGGATGCCGCCCCAAGCCCCGCCGCCGCCCGGCATAGCCCCGCTGCCATTGCCGTCCGATCCCGGAGGCCGCCGCTCGTCACCGGCCCTCCTCGGTACTCCTCTGCCCCATCCGATGCCGGGAATGCACCCCTTGAACACCGGAGATGCTCCCACCCCGCCGAATCGAACTCCCATTGCACCGGTGGATTTTCCCCCTTTTCTCGCCGCCGGCGTGCGCCGCCGCGATTCATCGTCGCCGACCTCCCTCCGGCGAATCCGAGCCGTTGGGTCGCTCCCTCTTGACTCCATCGTCACTCCGGTGTGCTCCCCGAAGACCAAATCCGTCGCGCAAGGCTTCGGTGAACTCGGCCGCCGTCCGCCATCCATCTCGGCTTCCCCTTTCTTCCTCCTCCCGCCGGCCCGCGTGGCTGCCACGTAGGCGCCATGTTGGTGCCAACTCGGCTAGACCGAGTCAAACCGGCCAGCCCCGCTTTCCCCCTCCGTGCGCGCGGACGATGGTGCGCCATGCGGCTGCGTATGGGCCCGCCGCCGTTTGTCCACCCGGTGCACCGTTCCTAAGCCACGCGCACCCGAAACCCTAGCGCCGCACCCCGCGTGCGCCCTCCCCACCGTGAACCCAACCACCGCCATGTGGGTCCCACGCGGTGGACCGCGTCCACCCGCGTCGGCCTCTTTCTCCCCGCGCCCCCTCTCTTTGGCCGCCCCTCCCGCGCCCGCGCCGGCCCATTAGGTCTGGCCAAGCTGCATAAACCCCTCGGGCCGCGCCTAAGCCGCCCGAGGAAGTCTATATGGCATCCCTCCTTCCTTTCTTTTTCAAGGGATTTAATAAACCCTTTTTCCCCTATTCCATAAATCATTTCTCTATTCCAAAATCCCATGAATCATTTTCCTTGGTCTCGCACACCAGTGACACTCAATAATATTCTTGAGAATATTATTTCTATAAATTTCAATTAAACTTCCAAAATCCATATCTCCCGATCCGTAACTCCAATTGACCCCGTTCCACTTCCAATAATTCCGTAAAATTGAGATCTATTTAATGGCACTATTATTTAGTCTAAATAGGATCCTTTTCTTGGTCTTTTGTTTAGGTTTTTGATTGTTTGCGTATAGATTCGCGAAGCTCTGTGAAGACCCTGAGCAAGGCAAGCCACCTTTGAACATCTTGAGCCTATATTTGAATTTAATTATATTGCTTGAAAAATATTATGCATTGATAGGATTGCACTCAATCTGCTTGCCCCGTCTGCAAGGCAGATTGGCGGGCCTACCTAACTTGTTGCATTTGATCCTTCCATTGTGATTGTTATATCATGTTCCCTTGTAACCATCTAGTTGCGCCTCGATATTCGTGCACTCTGTGCGAGTATCGACGGTCGCCTTCAAACTTAAAATTTGAGTAACTTCTTGGGTAAATCTTAGTTTACAAAAGGATTGGAAAACCCGACGCCTGAGTCGGTGCCTTGTGAAAGAAAATGAGTTTTAAAAATAAAACTCGCGACACAAGGCCATTCCTGGGCGGAATGCATGTGTGGTCGCATTTAAGGACCGATTCCTTCGGAATTACATCCGAGCATACAATAGTGCGACCACACGGGTGGAATGGGACACCCCTGGCTGAGTAAATTGCTAATCGGGGGAGCCTTGATGCCGAGAGACATGTGGATTCAACGGGGTGGTGTCGGGGAGAACCCCCGGGCTTCCTGGCATAGTATGGTCTGGGACCTAACCTGTTGTTGGTCTGGGACCCCTCTCGTCGGCATATGGCAACCCTGTGTATGCTCTCGAAATGCCTTGTCATGAAAGCCCTTAGGTCACCAGACGTGGCCATTCTGCACGGGCTGGGTGATTCGGGTTAGTAATGTCGTGTGGGTAAAGTGTAACCTCTCTGCAGAGGTTAACAAACTATTCGAACAGCCGTGCCCACGGTCATGGGCGGATGTGAGGTGATTCCTTAGCGTAGTTTTTGTTTTACCCTGTTTTATGAAAAGGTGTTAAGGTTAGGGAAACCTAATGCTTGGGAAGCAATTAGCTGTCCGGAAGACAGCGGGACCGGGAGTCCCTGGAAGTGATTGGTCGTTTGGGGACCACTATTATCGGGAAGTTTGGAAAAGTTGGTTTGGTTTGGAAAAAATAAACCAGATTTGAAAGATCTTGATAAATAAATTTGTTACTTCTCACCCCGACCGAGCTGAGACTTGTCTCGCTCTAGTTGTGGAAAGCACACACTTAAATTGTTGAAAATCTTGAAAACAAAATTGATTGCTAAATTAACCAGCCTTCCCTTGAAGCTTGCATTAACCACCTAAGTTCCCATGGCTTGCTGAGTACGTAAGTACTCACCCTTGCTCTATATAAATATAGTTCTGCCAGCTCTGAAGATGAAGTTGAAGTGAAGTAAAGATTAGGGTTTGTCCTAGTTCCCTGCTGCTGCCTGTGGTGTTGGGTGTTAGACCGTTGGTTCCGCTGCTGCCGCTGTTGTTGGTGTTTGCCTCGTCCGTGTCGTCGGTTGCATTCTCGGGCTGTCTGAGCTGCAACCTAAGTTAAGGTAAATAAGTCCACTATTTATTTTAAGGATTGCAATGATTCATATTTGTCACCGTGGGTACCAGCGCTACATCCTGGGACTGGTACTGAGATCGCGGTTTCGTAGGAAGCGGCTCGCGCTGTTTTTCCTACGACACGCTCCTATCAGGTGCCGTTGTACGGCGGTGCTGGATTGGGGTGTGACACAGGATAAGTAAGCCGAACCACACATACACGCTAGACGAAAAGAAGCTACCAGAACACATCAAGGCGATGACTCCCGATGAGAGGAAATCTTACATAGCACAAAGGCATCAGGAAAAGGTGCTAGATGTCGCTATGTACATAGCTATGGCGCTTGAATCTACGCAGGACAAGGAGTGTGTTTATGCCCCATATGCCTTTGAGTAAGTTGTAATATGCACTAAGAGTATATACATATAATCATGGCTCGACTAACAATTTCGTTTGCAGTGACCATTTGATAGTCTTTCTTCTCTATCCAAAGTACAATGAAGTCAACGTCTTGGATTCTCTCGATAAAGATAGCAAGACCTATCAGGAATTTCTAAGAATTATCGATCTGTAAGTTATATATTAGCATGACGTGTTTTAATATATGACGAATGTAAATTAATTATATCTACAAACAGTGCATTTAAAAGAGGTATTATCAGCGAGGCGGACAACGCAAAAACTCAAGAGAACGCATATTCGTCCTCAATAAGTGGCCGGTGGGTACATATGGATGCCAAACAGTGCTACTTAATTTTCATAAATGCTTGTGTGTTTCCATTTAATAACCTAATATACCTTATAATTATTTGATGTTGAAAGTGTCACAAGCAACCGGTGGGAACAATACTATGCGGATATTACTGTTGTGAGTTCCTAAGGGTTAATGGGAAATATTGTGCGAATTACGACGAGGTAAGTAATACACACTTGTTAAATTAGTCACTAACTTGTATTATTGTGAATAATTAATTTCCTTAATTCTGTCATGATCTGATGCAGCTTCCAAAATTCCCCAAGTCTGAAAGAGAGCTCGATGATAGATCCATTGAAGACATTCAGCGGGACATGTGCTACTTCATCCACCGTGAGTGCGCACACCAGCTTGGGCAGTTTTTCGACAACGAAGGAGTTTTGGCCTTGCCGGAGAACGAATCCCTGTCTAACTGGAGCAGGCGTTTAATATAGCTAAGGTTTTGTAATTCATTCAAAATACTTGTAAATGTTATGTCGTCGGTCGAATTTAATTTGTCAATGTACATATATATAGGTGCTTCCGAATTATATATGTATATTATTCTGCTTCATACTCTGTGGCTGTAAAATACGTGAAAGATAACAAACTCTATCGATAGCTTGATTAGTTATATCATCCACGTGTGACTCTGAAATACGCGCACAAACAATAGAAAAAAAAAGTATATCTAATATTGTTTTTATTTTTTTTAAAAAAAATAGAATCTTCACTGGCGGGCCATGTGTCGGAACAAGGACGGTCCATATCTTCGCTGTCGGGCCACGTGTCCATCTATAGAAGCCTTAGTTCATTTTTCCTAGCATGCCACGTGGCCTAAAATAATGTGAGCCGCCAGCAAAGAACTATCTTCGCTGGCGGCCGACCTAAGGCTACCGCAAGCGGAGATATTTCTTTGCTGGCGGCTGTGTTATGTCTGCCGCCAGCAAAGACATGTCTTCTTTGGCAGCAATCCTAAGGCTACCGCCAGCGAAGACATGTCTTTGCTGGTGGACGTTCCTTTGTCAGCCGCCAGCGAAGATGTATTTTGGCTGGCGGTAAATAACCACGAGCGAAGATCGACATTTTCACTGGCCTTTGCTTTGTGGCGGCTGCGATTTCCACCAGCGGAAACCCAAAATGGCCGCCACGAAAGATGGTTTTTGTAGTAGTGGTATCAGCAAACGGATGGCCGCTAAATCCACCAAGCAGTTGGCGACGCTGCTACCAGCTTGTGATAATTAGATAAGGTAGAGTTAATATTGATGTGACATATATACATCATCGAGCGATGTAAGTCAATTAGTGTCTATTCGCTTAATTGGTGACTCATCAGAGCCTGTTCATAATGGGTACTCCCTCCGTTTTAAAATATAGTAACGTATGACTTATTCAAGAACTACGAATTTAGACATGCACGGAGGTAATAGTAGTTATTAGTATCGGTGCACTGTACAATCTACAGTAAACTATGTCAGCAAATGAATGGCCGCTAAATCCACCAATCAGTTGGCGGCACAGACGGTAGCTTGTGATAATTAGATAAGGTAGACTTAATATTGATGAGATATATATACATCATCGAGTGATGCAAGTCAACTAGTGTCTATTCGCTTAATTGGTGACTCATCAGAGCCTGTTCATAACGGGTACTCCCCCGTTCTAAAATATAGTAACATATGACTTATTCAAGAACTACGAATTTAGACATGCTCGGAGTAATAATAGTTATTAGTATCGGTGCACTGTACAATCTACAGTAAATGGAGAAAGATATATCAGGGAGAAAGATATATTGTCGTTCCAAAAGCTGACACCGGTACTTGCTCCGTATTAATTAGTGTCAGATCAAGAAAAACGACACTCTACTATACTCCCTACGTTTCATAATAAACGAATCTATGACCATACGTGACATATTTGATATATTCTAGTTCTATAAGTCTAGAGATATATACGTTCAGATTCATAATACTAGGATATGTCATATCTGATACTAGTTAGTTTTCATAGACTGAGGGAGTACTGGATGTGACACATTATAGTACTGTCTAGATTCGTTGTACTATGATATGTTAGATCAAATTTTAGGTTCATTATTTTTTTTTGACGGAGACAGTAGATTCTTCCCATGAACCCATGAACTGGAATCAATATCAAGTGCAGTTAGTTAGTGACTGCAAGTTAAGCAGTCATATCCATTTACAGCCGTTGGATCAAAGTTGATGAACGGCAGAGAGATATGCCACGTCACAACCTGGCTGGCAGAGCTAAGTACATGCCACAGTGCGCAACAGGACTTTATGTGCGTGCTACAGTACCCTGGCCGAATCTGAGCTGTTCTTATTTGATCTAACGGTGAGGCAACGACTGCTAAAGTTGCAGTCCCTATTACAACTGCAGGGGATCCTGATCCGTAAGAATAAATCTGAATATAATGCACGTCTAGATACATCCCTTGGGTTAAACTTTATTTTTGGCACAAAGAGTATCACTTATGCACATTGCCACTACAATCATTGTCCGTCCGATAAGAAATTAATGGTTCCTTTTGGCAGATGTGTGGGTTCTCTGCCATAACACTAGATACTGTATCATTGATTTTCCTCGACGTCACCTCATTTTGTTTTCATGCGGTCCGTACGTTGAACCGCATGAAAAAAATGGAGGGACCAGAGCCGGGTCGTCGCCCGCACAGGAAAATCAATTTTCGTGTGCAGGTCATTTAACAGGCCGCTCGACCTTCTCCCCTCCTGACGCTCGCGCGAGGCGGCCGGGAGCGGCAGCGCCCTCCCCATGCCCGGATCCGGCGGCGGCTGCTGCCCCTTGCCCGGATCTGGCGGCGGCGGCAGTCCCCCGTCCGGATTTGGCGGCGGTGGCGGTGGGGTGCCCGGATCTTGGGTTAGGGTTTCCAATTATTTGAAATTTTATTTTTTTTTCGGATTTTGATTTTCCTGTGCGAGCGGCATAAGCGGATTTTCGCGTGCGGGTGCGCCACCCGCACGAGAAAAACGTGATTTTTTCAGACGGGGCGTTCCAGACAGGCGTAAAAACTGCACGCAAAAATCAAAATAACCACACGCAAAAATAGCTATTGTAGTGGTGAGAGGATGGTTATGATTAATTTGTTGGTCCGACGGGAAATGGTCCCTGGCTGCCGTGTGATACTGCATATGTGGCAAGTGGTGAAGGAAATATTTTTAGGCCCGAGCAAATTTAAATATACCTACTATTTGATACAAGATTTTTAACTTTAAATTAAATTCAATTGTGTATTTGACGGTGAGCCGGACAGCTCCTTGTGGTAGCCGGACGGTAGCTCCGCCCCTATGTGTGGCATATTCCACCAATAGACACTACAAGAAACTTTAATACCACAAGATTTATTTCTATGGTATAACAATTTTAAAATTGTTGTAATACATAACTATTGCCAAGATGCTGATGCAATGATTTTTTTTTCTGGCAAAAGGCTAGTTCCGTGGTGGAGTTAACTACTCCTACGCAACACTTCCTCTGAATTTTTTATATACACGGTTGACTTTTGGACATATTCATCTTACTATATGTAATTGTTATTTATTTTATACTTCTATACTACTTTAAGGCTGTGTTCGGGACTCCCCGACACCCAAAACAAAGCACATATTATTGTATGATTAATTAAATATTTGCTAATTTTTTTAAAAAATAAATTAATATGATTTTTTAAGTAACTTTCATATAGAATTTTTTTTTAAAAAAACACACCGTTTAGCAGTTTAAAAAGTATGCGCACGGAAAATGAGGGAGGGAGGTTGGGAAAAGGAGGTAACGAACGGAGCCCACGTTGAATGTTGGTACCACTGTCAGGTGGGCCCATGATGCCAGTGTCAACAATATAAATCAAATATAGTGTGGATATCAATTGTTCATCACTACGAGCAGTTGTGTACCTCAACATCCATGTACAAAATTGTATCAAATATGATAAGATGTTTAAAGAGTGGGAATAGTTTTGTTTTGCTTTTTGGGCTTTACTGTAATTCCGTGGCAAAGCAAGGGTATTTAGTTAGTAACTAAAAATAACTTAAACCCATAACGATCAAGATATATGTAACATTAACGGCGTTGTATATTATAAAATGGAGGGAGTACCTCTCTACTAATATTCAACTAAAAAGAAATATCAAAGCCAAGGTGTATCATCGACAGGGCATGCATCCGTCGGAAAAGAAGCCGCAAATCTCCTTTTTAAATTAGGTTAATTGGATCCGTGCTATTGCAAAATTGCCTATTGTGAAAAATGCCATTACAATTTGTCTATTCGTAGCCGTGCCATTACAAAATTAGAACTGTGCCACCACCGTCACGTTTTCCATGCATCTTCTTCCTTCTCCGTCTTCTTCCTTCTTTCTCCTCTTGTATCGTGGGCGGCGGGGCTGTGGCGCGCTGCCGCGCTGGGGATGTGGGCACGGCCATGGAGCAGCCCCGGTGGGATGGTGCCGGTGGGGATGTTGCCGCTGAGGTTGACGTAGCGGAGGTTGGGGTGCTTCACGAGTGACGGTGGTATGGGGCAGAGGGCGAGCGCGGCAGTGGTGGGCTTTGCTGGCTCGGCAACCTCGGGCGGCCCTGCCGCCACCGACGAGGAGGTGGCCGGGAGTGGGCGGGCGGGAGGCGCGATGGCTCCACCTCCTCTTCCACCGCTTTCCTCCTGCGCAGATCTAGCTGCCACTCCGCCCTACATGTGCGGATCCGGCGGCGGTGCTGCGGATCTGGCACGGGCGATGGTGGGAGGCGCGGCGGGTGAGAGGGAGGTGCGGCGGCTCCACCTCCTCCTCCACTGCCTTCCTTCTGCGCGGATCTAGCCGCCGCTCCGCCCCACGCGGGCAGATCCGACAATGTCGCATCAGATCTAGCGCGGGTGACGGTGGAAGGCGCGGTGGCGGGCAACGGTTGTCTCGGTGCTGCCGCCATCGAGGCGGTGGCCAGGAGCGGGCTGGCGGGAGGCGTGGCTCCGTCAGCTCGCTGAGCACCGACGGCACGCGTGCGGCGTCGTCGGGGAGGTAGAAAAGGGCTAGCTCAGTGATGCTGCCAGACTCCTTGGAGCAGAAGACGGCGGGCTCCCAGGTGCTGCAATTGGTCGATGGCTGCTTGACAGGGTCGCCCAGCTACGCGGGGCGGCGAGGACGGAAAGAAGGAAGAAGAAGCGAGAAGGGCTTGGCCGGCATCGGAGGAGGAAAGAAGACGGGAGAAAGAAGGAATAAGATGGAAAAGGGAGGAGTTGGATGGAAAATGTAACGGTAGTGGCACGGTTCTAATTTTGTAAAATTTTAATGGCACTGCTACGAATAGACGAATTGTAGTGGTATTTTTCTGAATAGGCAAATTTGCAACATCATATATCCAATTAACCCTTTAAAAATAGGGGAAAGCCATAAAGTGTATGTGTAACCACCACCTAAACTGGAATTCCTGAGTGATAGTCCATAGTAGCACCAGTGAAATTTTTTGTTTCCATCCTTGGCTTGACTTTTAGAAGATGTCATATTCGGCTATTCAAGATATTTTCACAGCCGGTGTAAAAGAGGACCAGGAAACAGGGAGTCGGAGCAGCACCAACCATTTCTTTAATTTTTTTTTTGGGATAAATCACTTCTTCAATTAGGCCCGGTTTAGTTCTAAAAATTTTTGTTTTGGGGTGTCACATCAGATATACAAACACACATTTTAAGTACTAAACGTAGTCTAATAACAAAATAAATTACAGATTCCGTCAGGAAACTGCGAGACGAATTTATTAAGCCTAATTAATCCGATATTAGTAAATGTTTACTGTAGCATCACATTGTCAAATCATCGCGCAAATAGGCTTAAAAGATTCGTCTCGCAATTTCTATCAGAACTGTGTAATTGTTTTTTTTTCATATTTAATACTCCATGTATATGTCCAAATATTTAATGTGATGGATGAAAAGTTTTTTTTTTCGACTAAACAAGCCATTAGACAATTATACTATAAGTTTACTTTACTGCCATTGGGCCTAAAATACATGACCAGCCCACACAGGACTTAACCCACACAAAAAAAAAAAACAGTAGCATCACGATTCACGAGCAATGGATCAAAAACAAGATGAAATATTGAAGAAAGATAGAGCGGAGCTTCTGCAAGCTCAGGCAGAGCTCTGGTGCCACACTTTTGGCTATCTCAAATCCATAGCACTCAGGTGCGCCGTAGAGCTTGGCATCCCCAACGCCATCCACCGCAATGGAGGCTCTGCTTCACTGCCCGAGCTGCTTGGCACTCTCCCTCTCGCGGCAAACAAACGATCATGCTTGCCTCGCCTCATGAGATTCCTAGTCTCTTTCGGAATCTTCAAAGAAGACATCTCAAGGGAGGGAACAACAACAACAACAAGCGTGTATCAGCTCACACCGGTATCTCGCCTCCTTGTTGATGGTATTGGCATGAACAGCAACACTGAGCACACATGCCAATCAACCTATGTGCTCGTGTGCGTCTCACAGCTTCAAGTAGGGGCATCTTTGTGCTTGGGAATTGGCTCACGAGCAGCGATGAGAACACCCCATTTGGAATGGCGCATGGCATGGATTTCTGGGATTTCACCGGCCATGATGCCGAGTATAGCATGCTGTTCAACAAAGGGATGGCGTCCGACAGCCACTTCGTGGTGAACATAGTCATCCATGAGTGCGCCGAGGTGTTTGTGGGGGTAAGGTCGCTAGTTGATGTCGGTGGTAGGAATGGCGCGATGGCGAAGGCAATTGCTGATGCCTTTCCACACATAAAGTGCTATGTTTTGGACCTCCCTCATGTTATCCATGGCACCCCAACTGATGGTATTGTTGAGTTTGTTGCAGGGGACATGATGCACTTTGTTCCGTCAGCAGATGTTGTGTTACTCAAGGTACTATAATTTTTGAAGTGATTTTTTTAGGTTTGCACTACACATTTTTCCTGTTTCTCTAAACAAAAATGCACAAGAGTACAAAAGAAAATGATTGTTGAAACTGAGCTTGGTCAATGCGGCCTATAGTGGAGTCCAAGCTCATGGCGGTAGGACCGTGCGGCCATGGGTGGAAGCCATAGTCGCTGAACAGAACCAGACGCCATCGCTCCTAAAGTCCAAAGGTTGCAGGAGGGAGAGGGGATGAAAAAGGGAGAGGCCGACAAGTGGGTCTGATGCCACATTGGATGCCAACATAGGCTTAAAACCACTCGTGGTTAGCAAAGGTTAGGGAATGTTAAATATCCGGTTTTATCTAGTTGAAGGGGGTAAATCGTACCTTTGTAATAGTTGGGGTAACTTAATAGGCATGATAAAGGTCAAAAGCTATATACGGTTGTGTCATGTCTTTTGTTAGAAAAAATGAAATAATGGACTTGTCTTAAAAACACCTTGCAACTACGTAACCGTATATTTTACACCCATCAACTAACAGAAGTTCAAAGCTTCCAAAATAGTACATCGTAAGAGCAGTACAACCCGGTTTAATGGTGCTTTCTTAGTTTTGAAATTCAAATATGCTTTTTACTTGTATGACACCTAATTAAAAAGATATGTAAAAGTAGTTAAATGTAAGTGAAACAAACATATTTTTGGATGTCAAAATTGTGAAAACCACTATAAAAAAGGCTGGGTTGTACTGCACTTATTTGGACCGGTTTTGGTAATAAGAGGGTGCAAAATGTTCGGTTCCCAAGATGCTTCCTTTTCTTTATCACCTACAACACATGCGCACTTGCACATCTAAAGTTTGTGTCAGATGACTTGTATCTTCACTTAAAAAGATGTAATAATTCATAGGTTGTTTTTCCTCTATTCCCCTAACCATGCCTCCAGAACAAAAAAAAAATGATGAATTGACCTAATTTTGTACTTTGGTTGTGGATGGCAGTTTGTACTACATGATTGGAGCGATGAGGATTGCGTAAGAATCTTGACACGATGCAAACAAGCTATAACTAACAAGGAAGAAGGAGGCAAAGTGATAATTATAGATACAGTGATTGGATCACCATCTCAACAGATACTTGAAGCTCAACTTTCAATGGATATATGCATGATGACGTTGACAACAGGCAAAGAACGAGAAGAGAGAGATTGGCATAAGATATTCTTGGAGGCGGGCTTTACACGATACAAGATTATGCCCATCTTAGGGGTTAGAGCACTTATTGAGGTTTATCCATAACATATTAGATGAATATGTCATAAAAACAACTTTGTATCTCGAACAACTACATGATCCTCTTTGTATTATGAATATGTTCTACGTTGATTACTCTTAAATGTGTGTGAACTCCTTGTATTGTTCTATGTATGCCAGTTAGTTATTACTAATCTCATGTCTACACTACACCGGACCAGGTCATTTGTGACGGGTCCAAATCCTTATCTTCGACGGGTTTGTCCCTTTGTCATAGATTAGTGATCACTGATGACTTAACCTCACCTGTGACGGTTGAAGGTCCGTCAATGGTGAGAGACACCTATGACGGGTTACAATTAGCAAACCATTAGTGGTGAGAGATATTTCTGATGAGTTATAATTAGAACCTGTCACAGACTATGTCACCTCAAATGAGTTAAAGCAGTCGACCCATCACAGGTGTGAAAAATCAACCAAAAAAAAGTGCCTCGCTGCAACAATGATTTACATATCCACACTGAATAATCCAAAACATTTTAGACTACATTTCTGATCCAAGAACTTACAAGGTTGATGTTACAATGAACATAAAAACAAACTAATGCAAACTATTTGAGAACTAGAATGTTCAAATTCCAATTTTCTAGCAACATCACCAAAGACAATGAAACTCTAAACACTTCCAGTGCACCACCTTCACGAAAAACAAGACACATCATGCGGCTCCAACTAACAAATTAGTGGCAACACATCAGTCATCCACCCCTGCGATTAATCTCCAGTGGCAACACATCATGCGGCTTCAAGAAGAACACACCCCAATTAAAAACTTGGCACCGATAACTTGCAAGATCTAAAATCAAATCACAAGAATACAAACACATACATCAGTACCCATCTGATGCATGACGGTGGAGGCATCGACACGTAGTGCCCACAGGAGGAGGTGGACACTGTGGCAGCCGCCGCTTGGGGATGGAGGAGGCGGCTAGCCCTTGGAGGTGGCTGCTCGGTGATGGAGGAGGAGCCGGATCCGGTTTCCCCTGACCTGGATCTGGCATCCCCTAACTTGCCCTTGGAGGAGGCGGCTAGCCCTTGGAGGAGCCGGATCCGGTGTTGGAGAGGCCGGATCTGGCATCCCCTATCTCGCCGACGTTCCCGCCGGGCCTCGGCACCTTGCTCAGCTTGACGATGGACTTGACGAATTGCGTGAAGAAAGCGGCCTTGTCCTGTGTGAACCGCCTGACGAGGTGGCTGCAGCGGCCGCTGGATCTCGCCCTTCCTCGTCTGTCGGATCTCGCCACGCCGACGCTCGGGGATGAGACGCTGACGCCCGGCCACATCTAGCCACATCTGGCCGGCGCCCGGCGGCATCTAGCCGCATCGGCGCCCAGTGGCTTGGATCCCGGCGCACGGAAGAAGGGAGAAAGAGGGAGGGGCGGAAGAAGGGAGAGCGCGGGTGGAGGCGGAAGAAAAAAGAAGAAGACCGATGGGCGTGGGTTCGGAGCTGGGAGGAGAGGGGAGGGTTATGAGAGCGATTTTTTTTATCATCTTTGACGGGCACACAAATATTTGGCCCATCACAGGTGACTTTACCTCACATCTGACGGGTTCCTTTTTGGCCCGTGTCACAGGTGACCTTTTTTTTTTCGGGGAAATGGGAATAAATTACTCAGGAATAATATTGTTTCTTACAAGATATGAAATAGAAACACGACTAGAGAGGTCCTCACACCGACGCTTATTAGCAAGAAAATGGCTGACCATATTCTGCTCACGCCGAATTTTCCAGAGAACAAATTCTCTACTTCCATTCAAGAGGTCCCTGATCTCCCTAACAAGATAAGCCAGCTCAGACGTCGCTCTTTCTTTCGACTGTATCATCTGCAAGGCAACTAAGCAATCTGTTTCCAGGATAACTGGTCTGAGCGTCCAAATGAGGAACAGATAGATCCCCTCTCTAAGAGCCAGAAGTTCTGCTTCAAGAGGGGAGCTGCATCTGCACATAGACTTGCAGGAGGCAAAGATAATCGCCCCCTCCCAGTCCCTGATAACGACACCAATCCCACCCTTAAGCAGTTGGCTGTCAAAGGAGCCATCAACGTTTGCCTTCATCCATCCTTCCGGCGGCCTCTCCCATCTCATTTTACAGGCTGGATTGGATCCATCAGGTCTACGACATCTCCTTGGAGTAGCAGGGATTGCAGTTTTTCCTTTCACTGAACCAGCAGCTTTCTCTTTGTTTTTTAAATACATGACGCAGTTGTGCGTCATTGTTAGACATAATAAAAAAAAGAAAAAGTAAAAAAGAAGGAACAAAGGAGAGAACTCACAGGGCAGCCGCTGACCAAACAGAGCGCTCATCGCCATTGATGTGGTGTTTTGTGGCTAGGACATCATGTCTAGAGGCCTCGAGTGCCAGGACCAGGGTGAACTTTTCTCAGAACTACTCTCTCACAAAATCAATACTAATAGGTCTCACTGCCTCTTCTAAAGGTGGTTACCCAAAAGTCATGAATCCATCATGGATAAGCAGTCCTAAACCCATAGAAAATCAACACGGTATTGCAACGGCGATAGCTAATTCGCGTGTGTGTTGCGGCGTGCGTTTTAGGCCCATAAGGCCCACAGCGCTAGTGCGTGCGGATGGCGTCCACGTCCATATTTTTTTTCACGGAAAAGCTAACGTACGCGTTTTTCCCGTTTCTTTTTCCCCTTTTTCAGCGATTTTTTATTTAGAAGTTGAATCTTTCATCTCTAATTTCTGCTGAAAGTTTTGAATTTGAGTTGAAAGTTTTTAAGATTTGAGTCGAAAGTTTTTAAGTTTTGAGATGAAAGTTTTCAAATTTGAGTTGAACGTTTTTGAATCTGAGATGAAAGTTTTTAATTCTGAGTTGAGATTTTTCAACTCTTTAGTTGAAAGTTTTTAAGATTTGAGATGAAAGTTTTTCAAATTTGAGTTGAATGTTTTTGTATCTAATACGAAAGATTTTAAATCTAAGTTGAAAGTTTTCAAATCTTTAGTTGACAGTTTTCAAATCTTTAGTTGAAAGTTTTTAAATTTGAGTTGAAAGTTTTTAAATCTTGACTTGAATTTTTTCAAATCGGACTTGAAAATTATCAAAATCAAGATTTGGAAGCTTCAAAATATGAGTTGAAAATTTTTAAATTTAAGTTGAAAGTATTCAAATCTTGACTTGAAAATTTTTAAATATGAGGGTTTCAATCTAGACTTGATAGTTTTCAAATCTTAGTTAAAATGTTTCCAAATCTTGAATAAATCTGATTCGAAAGTTTGTTTCAATCAACTAAACAAAGGGAAGAAACAGACACATGATGAATTCTTATTGAAAAAAAAGAAACAAGAAAAAACAGCGCTAAGTGCTATTAGTGGAAAAAAGACGCTAAGTGCTCTTAGGGCTGCGAATGTGAGCGCCGCGTCCGTTCCTAGCGCTTAAGCGCCGAACAGGAACCCCGTAGTGCAACATGGATAAGTAGTGCGTTAGCTCACCTATTGGGGAAGTCAACACACAGTTTGTATAGGTCTGTGAAAATTGTATTACACAAATGGTGGCTTCACATGGCCTATTTTTATAGGCAGACCTTTTTAGTGGCCATCTAGAAAATCAATTTTTACATGTCAGATTAAACCACCTGTGAATTTTTCTAGCCCACCTGTGAAAATAGATACCTCACATGTGGTGTGACTATGCCTACGACGGATACAACCATTGATCATGTCATATACTCACAGGTGGTCTCGTTTCATAACAAGTGCCAATTTAATCTAATCAAGAATATGACAGTACCTCATAATGTATGCGTTTATATGTTCAGGACCAATCCACTTATTTGGGGCTGCATATGGAAGATAAACACAATGGCCATGGTGCATGCAGAGATGGAGATGAAGTCCGTCGCGTTCTGGAATCCAATTCGGCCACCTGAGATAGTGCTGAATTCAAACGGTCGCCAAATTTCCATATGGTCTCTGTTTTGGGCCCACGAGTACTTGATGGAAAGCTCTCGGAATTCTCTTTCCAATGGATCCAACTTCATTTTCAAATTCCATCTGAGTCATCGGCAACTGAAGAAACAAGGGGATGCATTGTCTGTAATGGGCCTATGGGCTTGTAAGTTCGTCTGGGACCCCGGCCCAAGTGGGGCCCAAGGGGGGCTGCGCCCCAAACAGAGGGAGGAAGCCCTTCTGACTTCCTCCATCCCTTAAATAGCTAGCAACCCCTTCAGGGTTAGTTGGGTTTTGTTAGATTAAAGTTTAGCCATTGCTACTTCCTTGCAGCGCACGTGTCGGCTAGACCGTCCATCTGCTTGTTATTCAGAACCTCAACTTATCATCTGTATTTAATTCCTATTTGCAATATCAGATTGCTTTTATCTTGTTCTTGCTTGTTTCTTCGATTTGCTTGGAGGAATAGGGTTGATTTGCACCGGCAAGATCAATAACCCACGGAGAGGTGTATCGATCGCTAAGGCGCAACGCAACGTCTTGTACGGTTGTAGTCAGATCGTCAACGTTTCTCTCAAATCGTAGTTATCTTAACTCACAGAAAGATCGGGCCAACAACAGCCTTGAGTATCGAGTGGAACTCAGGGTTCATCAGGTGGTATCAGAGCTTTCGTTGCTCGGTGAGTTTTTATCTACCTATAACCAGAAAATTGCCCTAAAAAAATTGCATCCTTACCTAGACATATTGTGCCATTGCGTTGTTCTTATCAATTTTTGCTTTGTTGAGTTCTGCGTTACATCGTCGAATCGAGTTGCTGGTCTTAGCGTCTAGTCCGTTTAGAGTTTTGAGTTCTAGTCATGTTTTGTTCCACAATCGTCGCCGCCATCATGTCTCTATTGTCGTCGGGACCTAAGAAAACGGAATCGGCTTGCTGCCACGGTTCTATTTTTGTAGTTTTCAGAAGTTTTTTGTCGGTCAGTTTTGGAGTTGCATCTAGGTTTTGCTTAAGTTTCTGGTTTGCCCGTGAATAGATCGGCCGTGCTTGTTGCCGGCGTAGAGAGGAGGAGGAAGAATTTCCAAATCTGTTTTTGGAAGTACGAGAGTTTAATTTGGAAAGAAATAGTAGATCAGATTGATTGAAAATCAGTTTCTCTTTTTCCTAGTGGTGCCGTATCCATCCACACGTCGCCCACCACCACCGTGAGGAGTCCGACCCCCTCCCTCTCCTCTCGGTTTCGGTTTCGGTTTCAATGCATACCGTGAGTTGCTAGACACCTTGGTGAATTTTTGTTTGGTGTCAGTTTCGTGATCTGTTTGGAAAAACGGAACCAGTATAAATTTAGCATTCCATTTTTTGTATAATTTTAATTTTCGGTTTGGAACTTTTCCATTTGACTTCCTGTAATTTTTTTATTTATATTTGAGTCCCTGTAATCGTGCATTGAGGTCCTTGAGTTGTTTTTGCAGAAAAAAAAGAAAGTAAGAAAAATGCAGGAAGGTGCATAAAAAGAAAAAAAAAGAAAAGCCGCACCCAAAAAAAACAAAAAAAGAAAGAGAAAGAAGAAAAAGGAAGAAAGAAGGAAGAAAGAAAAAAAATCAGTTGTATCTTTGAGCTGAATTTGATATATCAGAGTGTGCCTAAGTTGTTTCTAGTGCTATCTTGTGGTATCGTTTGTGACTAGTCTCACGTCTCTAGTACGTACTAGCCTAGGACCAGCACGGTACTTGACTTTGAACAATTATTCAACTTTGCATTCTCTGATTTGATCATTTGCTATTCCTTTGCTACATATTTAAGCCTACCCAGAGCTCCACAGATTTGATTGCAGCCGTATGACAAGTGTTTGCCAAGGCATCGATACATCCAACCTCCCATTGGGGTTCTTGGTTGAGTCGGTGTACGTCACCACTCCGCTTGCTTTGGTAAAAACTTGTAAGAGCTTGGTTGAAAGCTCGAGTGTGTGTGATATTTGAGCTGCCACTACATAGTAGTTGATAGGAGCGTGCATATTCTTGTGTGTGTTTCTTGTTTGCTACTAACCATGGCAGGATTGAGCAAGCGAATACGAGAACATCGGCTTCTTCACCGTCTACAAGATATGACAACATCTCCACGTGATGCATACGAGGTACATCACTATAATTTTGCGCGAGTTGAATCTAAGTTACCATTTTATGATGGTAAGTATTATTTTGTTGCATATATTGATTGGGAACTAGCAGTAGACAATGAATTTGACAAATATGATTTTTCTGATGCTCAAATGATTAAGGCTGCTAGTAATAAGTTTACCTCTTCTACATTATTTTGGTGGAGTTATGTTAGTAATAAACCTGAAACTTGGGATGAATTCAAAACCATGATGAGAAAACGCTTTGTGACATCTTATTACAAATGTACTCTTCGGGAGAAATTAGAACATCTGAAACAAGGTGATAGAACTGTTGTAAAGTACATTCATGAATTTAAGGTCTGTATCATCTACAGTGGTCTCAAAGAGTGCAATGAAAATACAATGCGTAGATTTTTTAATGGCCTTAAATCTGAAATTCAGGTTTTGCTTGATAATGTGACATATAATCATATT